AAGTGCCGAAAACGGTAACTCAGTTTTTAAGAGAACGGAGCGTCCGATCTAAATAATTCAAAAAACATTTCACTTGCATTGACAAGATGAAGAATCGATAAAATTTTCATAAAGGTAGGTCTAGCGGTTTCGGAGATATGGAGGAAAAAGTAAAAAAATTAGCCATTTGGCGGTCATAAATGATCATTAGACATATGCACATCAAATTATCAGATATTTTATAGAGATTTTAACAATAAGTATGCATTTTGTTAACATTCCTATGGGTTCCGTACTAATGCTTACGCGTTAGACAGCGACGCGGCGCTTACGCGCTTTATATTTTGTCCCTATGCAGTTAAATCAGTACGATTGCTTTGAAAAAAAAAGTTCAGATCTTCCACAATATGTCAAAATAAAGAAAAAAAATTTTTTTTTCAAAAAAAAAAATTAATTTTTTTTTTTTTTTTTTAATTTTTTTTTTTAAAAAAATAATTTTTTGTCCATATATATAGTTTCTCAAAAATCTTATTTTTTTCAAAGTACATTTTTTTCAAAAATGTTAATCGTTTTTACAATTAATAATTTTTGGTACGGGAAGTTCCAGCAATTTGCTTTAAGGCACGATGCCTTAATTGCCTTAAGACAGAATTCCACTTACAGCTAGTTTATTTATTTATTTACAGGTCTGACAACGAATATTGTATATCTCTTGGCTTTGAAGTAAATTGATATATTGAAAATAAATACGTTCTAAAAAAAGTAGTGTACATTTTTTTATATACAGTTTTAATGAAGATATTTTGATATTTGTCTTTTTATTTATATTGTTATATGTTATGATGTGGCTGATTTGGTATTCATTCTATAATTGAAATGTATGTGTAGAAATTGAGACTCATCATTTTATTTAATGCAGTTCTACATTTAATATCACTCACATTAATGTACATACATTTTGGTATAGACTGTAGTGTAAAAGTGGTAAATATTAGTATAGGGCAGTGATTTTCAACGTGGGGCGCACGCTCCACCGGGGGGCAATTTGAAAATTCAGGGGGGCAATTCGAAAATTTTGATGAATTAAATGTAATGCAGTATAGTATCAGTAAAACATTTAACAAAAAATCCTTTAAACATTTAACAAAAAATGTTTTTAGTCCAACAAAGTTTAGCTTGAATTTGAATTTTCCTCATTACTCTATTATAGTAAAATTACAACTACCCATCATAATCTGATAATGATATTTGCGATAAATTGCTTATATAAAACTAAACATTATGAAAGAGAATGATGCGGAAAGCAAAAATTCTAAGGATCCAAATAGCTCTTATTTACGATAATAGCTCGTATTATAATTATTTTAAAGTTTTATTTTAAAATTAGGTAAACTTTCTAATAGCTTGGCACAAGTGCCTTAAGGTCAGTGACAAGATTCATGCACAAGAAAAGCGATATTTTTTACTAAAGTTAGTTGCGAAGTTTAACGCGAACAGAATTTTATACAATGCTTTAAAAGCGGAAAAACGTAAACAAAAAATACGACGTAAGTTTTGTACTCACTGTTAGTAACTATAACTAAAGATGGAATTAACTTAAAACAAATTGATTTTTATTGTATCCTTAAACAGTACAATGTTGGCAACTAAGTGCGGTTTTTACTCGTACAATTAGATTGCTTCAAATAAATCTTTAGGTTTGCTGAGGTAGTCTATATGTAAAACACATTTTATTGTATGTAAACAATTTATTTTATTGTATAGTAAGAAGAAATTCAGCTGTCAATTAGTAGAAAATACATTTTTGATCGGTTGCGTAGTTCTCGTTTAGCGTTCGTTGAAAGCTGCAAAGTCAAAAACATTTTTGTCATATTTTGCATTTTTATTTCTGCAAAGAGAAAAACAATGATCCCACATGTTAGTTGCTGTTTATGATGTCGAAGCCTTAATAAATGCCAAAATTGGTTTGCAAAATGTCATTCTGGTGATTTTTCACTCAATACTGCTCTAATTGTCGAGTTAAAGTTGTGGACAACTTAATTAAAGCAATAATCGATTCGACTAATAGAAACAATTTGGCTATGTTTAAAAATTATTGGGGCTTGCGTGGAATGTTTCTCCACATCTACAAAATATTCCTGACCATGAACCCTTGAATTAAAAAAAAATATGATGTCAAATTGTGCGATTCAGTTTTTGCTAATATAAACTAAAAGTTCTAAAAACCTGGGATAATTACGCTTCTTGGAAGATAACAGAAGGTCATCGATTAAAATGGTCAATAAATTACAGAACAAAATTATTTAATTCGACGCAAAAACTGTATTTGATTTTCTAACCAAATTGCGCACTTACTTAGTTGCCAACGATAACTACTTTCTAACAAAAAAAAATACGCACTTACTTAGTTGCCAACCCGATAACTACAAATTTTCGTTCTCGTTTTAACACTTTCCACTCGCGAATTCCGAGATTTAAATGAATTTTGCCGCCGGAGAAAAAAATATGAATATAAATAAAAAAATATGATTTAACAAAAAAGATATATAAAAATTAGATATAATTTCGTTCTAAGTTGAGAAAATGTCATCTAGCTAAGTAGACTCGTTATGAAATGGCTTTATGAAGAAACTGAAACCAAATGCCGCAATGTAATCATATATACGAACATTTTCTATAATTTATTGATAAAAAAGAAATAGACTTATAATAACACAACGTGAAGACTTGAGCTTAAAGCGCAGTAAGTTAGAACCTAATATAAAATCTTTGTGCAGCATGCAAGCTTCAGTATCGCATTAAATTCTCGTTTTTTTTTTGTTTTTTTCCAAAATTTCATAAATAAATAACAATTTAATAGTGATTTTATTAACTTCCCGTAGGGCAAGTTATTGTAATCGCAAAAAAATCGAAAATGAAAATTTTTATATATCTTTACGTTTCAAAGGATTCTGAATATTTTGGCATACCTCAGAATAAATCGATGTATGTGTGTGTGTATGTGTATCTGCGTGTATGTATGCGTGTGCGGATACAAATTTTCGTCGACGATTTCGGGAACACGCGGATGAAGTGATTTGAATAATTCAAAAAACATTCGATTTGTATTGATAAGGAGACGTGTTGATTAGTTTTTGGCGAAGGCAGGTCTAGCCGTTCCAAAGATACGGGGCAAAAAGTGCCAAAAACGGTAACTCAGTTTTTAAGAGAACGTAGCGTGCGATTTTAATAATTCAAAAAACATTTTACTTGTATTTACAAGATGAAGAATTGATCAAATTTTCATGAAGGCAGTTCTAGCGGTTTCGAAGATCTAATGAAAAATTTTTAAAAAAAGCCATTTGGCAGTCAAAAATGATCATTAAACATATGCACATCAAATTTTCAGATATTTTATAGAGATTTTAACAATAAGTATAAATTTTGTTCATGACCTTATGGGTTCCGTACCAATGTTTAACCGTTAGCCGCCAACGCGGCGCTTACGCGCTTTGACATATCGTCTCTATGCAGTTAAAGCAGTACGATTGCTTTGAAAAAAAAGTTCAGAATTTCCAAAATATGTCAAAATAAAGAAAACTTCTTTTTTTAAAAAAAGTAAATTTTTGTCAAATTTATAGTTTCTCAAAAATCTAATTTCTTCGAAGTAATTTTTTTTTCAAAAATGTTAATCGTTTTTAAAAAAATAATAATGTTTGGTACGGGAAGTTTTAGCAATTTGCCTGAAGGCACGATGCCATGCGCCCTACTAGTCTTGAAAGTTATCATTCACATTTTTCAGGAACAAAAAAAAATTGTGTTACCTCAAGGTGGGGTGGGGCCCAAAGAAAAATTGTAACTTTTGAATTGTAGATTGGATACTGGACTACCGGTCTATCGGTCAGCTATAGTATATATATATATATATATATATATATATATATATATATACATACATAAATATTTATCTTCAACCAGTTTGCGAACAACACATATATTACACACTATCTATTTGTGATTTTTTAAAATTAGTATTTTGTGAAATATTGTTTAATTACAAGTTTAATGTTTATATTACATAGTGTGGTGTATTACCATAACCTGATACCATGGATTATTAAAATCTTCTAATTTAACACTAAGATTAACTAATTTTCCACTGAATGAAGGCTAGGATTACAGCCGAAACGTATGGATGTAAAATAAATTTTTGAAAAAAACTCATGTTTTTTATTAATATTATGCCCGATTACTAGACTTTGTTAATACATACGTCAACATCAAATTCAGAATCATACAAAATAAGCATCTATATATTTAATTTAAATTTTATATTATATCTAAAAAATCATTATTTATTGTATAATGCACAAGTATATTATATGATAGATATTTCATACAATTATCACTAAATAAATAAATAATATCTTTATGAAAAATATACGCAATAATAGTTCATTAGCACATGATTTTTATACATGCTGCAGCAAAATAATACAATTATATAAAGTTAGTCATAAAATATAATGAATAATATATAAAAATATATTGAATGAAATATCTCTATGAATTAGTCAACACGTACCATGAATTTTTCAAAAATGATTAATTGAATTTTTTTTAATTTTATGTTGTCTGTAATTTAGTTGTTTACATATTGAAATTGATTTGACAAAATTTCAAAAACATTTTCGCAACATCGTAAATTGGTTTTAATAATGACCTCTAATTTTACGTGTAGATCTGACAACATACTAGACTTCAATTAATATTTCTTAACTTGAACAGCATTTTTAGCGCTTTAATAAGCAAGTACAAAATCATAATGCTCTATACCTTTAAGGACCCATCGCATCGAGCATTTGTATATCATGTTATAACGATTATATTACTAATGTCTCAAGTTAGGTGACGAATACAAATAAATTCTTTACCGGGGTAAAAGAAATTACATTCCGAACTGTTTAATAATGATGGTGGCTATTGTTAGACATTTACAATAAAATCATGATTTTGTAACAATTTGTCAATCCTTTTTTCAGTACTCGGCGTGGAACGTACTTTGGCTGGCATGGAACGCTTTCATAATATGCTTCTACCTGAGCGTGGGACTTTTGGACAAG